ACAAAACTTTTTTATTCTTTCTTGCCCAATCAGTATTATTAATCAATCAGTCATTAAATTCAGATCAGAAAAAAACAGTTACAAGAATTTATTACATCGGTCAACTTGTTAAAAATTTCCCTCAGGGCAGAAAAGAAAGGAATCTTCTGGAATTTTAATAACGACATAATGTCAGACCTACACAAGACACTGTTGGCCAAATACAAGGGAGATCTCAGATTGCCAGACAACCCGTTATCACTCTCAGATCATTGTTCGAAAAAGCTGATTAAACTCATGACGGACGAAGACAAAATCCTCAAGGAAGTAAAGAAGGCGGTACACGAAGGCAAACCATTGGACAAATTCGGAGCCTACTTAAAGAACTTCCAGAGGGATATACATGTGAAAGAAGGGCTGTTATTCAATGATAACAAACTGATAGTGCCGGCTGCATTACGATCACCTTTCTTGTCACTCCTTCACGAGACTCATCCAGGGCAGTTTGGGATGAAAGCCTTGGCAGAAAGCATTTGGTGGCCACACCTATACAGAGAGATATACCATCATGGAAAGAATTGCACTCAGTGTATAATGGCCGGTAAGAACCTAAAAGTGTTACTAGGGACGAACAAGACTGAGAAATTACCGAATCTGACCGAACCAAATAAAGAAGTAGATTTAGACTTTGCTGGCCCATTGGACAGGAGTTGGGGTAACGCAAAATACCTTTTGTTATGCATTGATCGCTTTTCAAAGTTTCCGTCTGCGAAGGTAGTAAACAACACCTCGACTTCTTCAATTTTAACCTTCATGACAGATTACTGCCATCTTCACGGATTTCCAAAGTCCATTAGAGCCGACCATGGGTCATGTTTTACTTCGTTTGATTTTAGAAACTTCTGTGAGAAGAACAACATTAATTTAATTCTATGTACGGTTGACGATCATAGATCCAGCGGAGTAGTAGAAAGACTCATTTACACGGTCAAAGCTAAGCTTCTGGCAATGTCGTTCAACGATCCAAAACCATCTTTAAATACGGCTATTGATAAAATTATTTGGAACATACGCTCGACGAAACAATCATCCATTGGATGCTCTCCTTTCTCAAAACATTTTAATAGATCTCCCAATACGTTCTGGAAATCTTTGGTCTCTCACGCAATTAGTTTAGATAAGGGGAAATCAATCTTAACGAAGGACAGAGCACAGGACTGGGGGGCCGATGACGCGTTTGAAGATGGCTACCTGGAAGACAGAACAATTGAGGAGAGAGGCTATGAGAGCGACCCTGCTGACAAAGTAGATAGAAATCTTCAGCGAGCCCCACTGTCAAATCCTTTCAGCCAAGGAGCAGGCAAACGAAAAAGAAACTCCCCTTCCAAGAGACGAGACTCAAATACAGGAGGCCCTTCGATGACTAATACACCAACGGGTGGAAATTCAAGCAAAAAGAGGAGAACATTCATCACGACCTCGAAAGGTTCAAAATTCGACTTTAATAATCTAGATTCGTCGTCAGCGTAAGACCTTTGGGATAAAGTCATTGACGACTACTTGGGTACGGAAGCGGAAACTGTATATAATACACCGACTGCTAACCTTCATAGTGATTTAGATCAACCAAGGAGTACCGTAACAAGCCAGACAAATACGCAGACAACAGTCATTTTACCAACGGGAAGAGTTGACGACCCAATTCGAGTGGATAGTTCTCCGGAGAAGTCAGTGGAAACATCAAAGAGCCCGATACCCGCAAAACTTCGTGTAAGAAGAAATCCAGGCCCCCCGAAATTCCATGGCGATAGACGGTTTATCGTCCAAGTGACGCTCGGTACGGAGACAATTAGTGCAGTAGACTCCGATGACGAACCGCTTATTACGTTTTCCGGTGCAAAGAGTTCAAAACAAAATCCTTCATTCTGTACGACGTCCCCCTCGGATTATCTTACACCCATTGATGAGATCCCACGTCACACGATTTTGGTTACTGAAACCACACAAGACGATCTCTCAACAACTTCCTCTCAGGCGACAAGGACCGCATGGGTATCGCCACCATTGGTAGAAGTGACCAGTAATACTCAGGATGACATCGATAGCGACATATCCTCGGGCATCGATACCGATGTAAGAATAGAGGCAGATAATTTCCATACTAGATACAACTCTACGGTCCCAAACTCTGAAAACTTTTAAGCGGTGGTAACACGACATGTTACGTATTTGATTTAACTTTTATCCATTGGATACCCAGAATTTTTTTTTTATTTACTTAGTTAGTGAGTTAGTTAGTTTGCTTTAATTGTACAAATGCTACATAACCCCAATTGTACATATCATTTTGTACATTCAGTGTTGATATCTGTGTAAACCTGTAAGTAGCCTGTATATATTACCATATAATTACCTCCATTGTAATTTGTACTCTCTGTAAAATCCATTGGTGCTAAATGCGGTTACGTTTTGTTTCTTCTTTGGCCCTGGTGGAGCGAGGGGAGATGGAGTATATGTGTGATATTGGCCACATCGTTGAGCGGGCAGATATTAATTTTTGTGCACTGGGGAATGTTGTGATTCAGTATTTTTAGTATGTTATAACCTTGACCTCTATTATCTAATTACGTACCAGTCAATGTTAACTCTACGAAGTCCAGTGGACTTCGACTCACTAGTTGCTCTTTTTAGACTACAGTCAGTTTTAATTCAAACAATACGTTTATTCTCTTTTAACCTTAGTTAGATACAATAGTTACCAGTGGTACATCTTAACTCTTTATTAATTTTATCATTAATGTTTTTGATATCGTCTTCCAAACAATTCGATCTTTTGTTAAGAAAAGCAATATGGTGCTGATGTAGGCCGGTAGTTTTATCCATATTGAGGAACGCATTTGAAAGTATTCACTGAAAAAAAATTGCTCTGCCTCGGCTGTTATTGTCAAGTTTATCGTTCCAAAGCCAACTCCGTTTTTCGAGTACTTTCCAGATATCTTTGCATTTGCGCTCTTTTTTTAGGAAAAGATGGCCTCAAAACACTCTTGTTCTTCTCGAGTTCTATAAGTTCATTCTTTTTGGCCAGCTTCCTTTTTCTCAGCTTGAAGTTTCTCTTGAATGAGTTAAATTTCTTTTTTCTTTTTTCTAATTTTGTAGTTTTTCTTAGTCTTTCCTTTTGGGTTTAATCTTCTTATCAAATTTGATGTTGTTGCTGTTATCTACGATGGAAGGCGTCATTAGAGAAAACTTTTTTGATTAAATGCTATGCATTGGTGCGCTAGAAAGACAGCAAAAATTGCATGGAATGGGAAATTGAGTTTGAGCTATCCAGCAATCCGACAGCTCATAGTTTAGTTTGACAAAAAAGATGCCGTGTTTCATAGCGATAAATACACATGTTTTTTCCTTCAATTTTTGTTGCTCGAAGGTCATTTCTCAAGATTGTGTAGTCAGGAATAAAAAATAATGTCTGTTTTTTTTCCGGGACGAGCCAAGTTTTATTTATACAAATTAGATAGTACTGAATCATTATGACATGGAGTCTTATAGTTTGCGTACATTGGAATAGACTAAATTTATTTTCTTGGTTTGTTCCTTCAAAGTCAGCTTCTGGTCCTGCAAATTGTGTTTCTTTTTTCGGTTTTTTTTCAATCACCATGATGGTCAGTTGAAAAAGAACAGCTTTTGTCTGGACAGCTTTTGTCTCTTGTCTGTTCAAATTGAAAACTTTCAAGACTTCTGATAGGTATCGGGTCGTCTCCATTATTTATGAGGTGTCCTTAAGATTTCAGCATCGTATTCTCGGGAAGTACCGCTTCTTTACTGAGATCTTTGATTATTTATTTTTTTTGAAGTTTTTTAGATGCGTTGGCGTTAAAACCATTTCATTTTAGTTTTCTGTAGACTAATGTACTACAAGAGTACTAAGTGGCTTTGTGTGCTTGCGCTTTTGAACTCACCAAAGCGTTCCTTGACTACCTTGATTACCTTTTTTTCAAATTGAAACCATAAGTTGGTTTTTTAAGCAATTTTTAATTTTGCATAAGCTATAGAAGACTAAACAAATAACTTTAGCTAGCTGTTGGATTTCACCCTTATTTGCACCACAAAATTTATTTCAATTTTTTTGGACCTTCGATCGTTATTCAAACAACTATTGTCGGCTCTGGTTCGCAAAACTCTTCGGGTCCCCAAAGTCTACAAAAAGTTTTTTTTAATCCGAGTCGAGTGACTATGATTCGAGATAGCCGTTTCTCTTAACTTTTTTTCAGTCAAATTTGTCAATTTGCTGTTTAGAGATGAACAACGAATCACTGCCATGAATTAGTCCAAATTATCCTTAGCATAATTTGGTACAAATTTAAATTTAGCAACGTTACAACTCAATTTCAGTTCTTCAACGGTTCTTAGTGGCCTAAGTTCAAAATGACAGAAAATTAATTTCGTCAATGGAGATGCATTGGTTAACTCTACCATCTAATGCAAGCAAACCGCAAAGGAAGTAAAGTGACTCAAATTTTTGCGCCCTTTCTTTTCCTCGGTTCTTCGTTATTATACGACAAAGTTTAAAGATTTTTCTACCATTACATGCAGAGCAGACTATAGAATTTTTACCAGGGTAGCAATCGATTTCACTCAGAAACATACACTTCAAGAACATGGGACCAGATTTTTGGAAAAAAAATGAATTCAGCTAATTTTAGGGTCGTCTGAAAAGTCAATCAAAATAATCAGTCTCTATTGCATGAATGGGGATTAATTAACACTTTCCCAAAACCTATTTTTTTGTTAAAATTTTCCATTTGTTTTTTTTTGCGGTTTGAATGACAAAATTACTGCTTAAAGAGCCTTCTGTATGATATCTAACACGTATCCGTCTTATTTCTTCTTGAAATGTCTGGTTTCCTGAGTGAAAACGAATCAAAAGTAAAAATAAATTAGTGATTGTAGCTTGAGGAAATGTTGGTGTAATCAATGTTGGTGTGGATATTTTGGTTGATTATCTCATTGTATCGTTTCAGATGGTCCAAACTGCCCTTGACCGAGGATGTTGACCTTGACCTAATGTCCTCTAAGTATATGTTCCCACTTCACTCAGCGGGGCGGGAGGAGGGGACAGAAATGAGTGTCAACAGAGGCCGACAGAGTTCAACCAGCCGAGTCAGCGGACTGGGCTCCGCGGAAGACCGTAAGAAAATATTTCTTTTGTTTCGAAGCAAATAATGAACGTACTGTGGTAATTACACACAGATCTTCGGGCTGGAATTTTTGTCAATTGTTTTTTATGTTTCTTATTTTTCTCGATTCGGTTTTCGGCCTTCCAGGCAAGCAACAGTTGGCCAAAAAAGTCTTTACTTTGTGAACTTTATTCGGAGGAAAACGAATAGAGCAATCCGAGCAGTTAAAAATTTCAATACGTTTCTTTTCTCTATACCCAAGAGGCGTTTGAAATTTCACGGTTGAAATGCAGTTGAAGTAAGCCTATTGCAATATGCAGCAGGTTATCAGAAATTTTTTGCATGTTTCACTTTTTCAAAGTTACTGAAACAATAACTGAAACCCGTAAATCTTTTAAACGTCCCTTTTTTATATTATTCAAAAAGCGTTGATGCAAATCCATAAGACTTAGCAAATTACGACTAGTATTACTTTGCAAAAAATGCGATTGCTCATTGTTTATCACCAGTGCCCAAAAGAAGCGTTCCCAATTAGTGGACAAGAATTCCATTATCGAACAAGAAAAAGCCGATAAGATGTCTGTCTATTATGCTGATAAGATGTCTGTCGGAGGAAATAATTTTGAGATTTTTACTTCCGATTTTAGAGCGAAAGTTACAAAATTACAAAAGAAAATTGAAAAAAAAACTTGATTAAAACAGCGCTTTTGAAAAATCCTCGAAGACGAAGGAACAACTCAGATTTTGGGTAATTTAAGTTTTAGTTAAACAAAAAATAATAATAAAATTAATTTAGATGAATTTTCAAATTAGATGGACTTTTAAATGAATTTTTCTTAGGCTTAAGTCTCTAATTCAAACTGCTATAAATTCTGGCAAAAAAAACGAGAAAAATCTTTTTTATTTTCAAATTTGAGCTCAGAACATAAATTTTTTTAGATGGTATAAAAAACTTGAGTGGCCGGTTAAAAAGTCGAAATTTATCTGAAGAAATGAAGAAATACTCAGAGCACAAATATTCCATCCTTCCTTTGAAAATCAAATTAAAATCAGATCAAAAATTGGAACGTACAAAATTATTACGACAGAGTAACTTGCTTCAACTCAAGTTGGATTAGTTTTGTAGTGCGAAATAATTCACCGAGCCTAACAAAATTCTGTTAAGTTGTTAGCATTTAAGTAAATGAAACCACAAAAATGCACGTAAGTTATTTCAGAGCATGACCAAGAGTTTCAAACTTCCGAAACTTCACAAAAGATTATTGGAGAGAACATCATATCTTTTCAAGTTTGAAATCAGGGAGACGACATTTTCAATGTATTGGAAAATTTTGTTTTCAATTTTATTATATAAAATGCCGAAGTTTGACTGAAGGAAAAAAACCACCCCAAACGATAATCTTCCGCAATTTCTTCGCAAATATTTTATAAATAAGCCTACAATTATAATTATACTGCTTCTAAAATAAAACCTTCCTTTTTTTTGCTTGATCACTCAATTTGCCATATTTTTCTCTGATTTTTGTTCGAACTCTTAATCCGTCGTTACTTCCATTTTGCTCCATCCCTGGCCTGCCAACATGTACTTGAAGCCGCGTAATTGAATCAATTGCTCAAAAACAGTTGCACTCACAATACCAAAGGATCATATAATTTATCAAATTGAACAAGACTGCTCGTATCAGGGCGAAGCCTTGAAAGTTCCGACTGCCTTTTAACGTTTATGGAGCAGTAATAAGATAAACAACATTAAAAAATTAAATGAAATAAAATAAAATGAAAAATTTTTTTTCTAAAATTTGAAATTTTTTTTTGAAAATCATCCCCCCACACGCCATTTAAATTCAAAACAATAGATTTCGCTCCTTGTAACAAATCAATTATGGCAAATAAGCTTCTTTTAACCAATTTGGAACGATTTCTAAGACGCATTAAATCTCCGCTTACGCGTTAATAGCGCGAATTATATCGCGCGTTAATTGTCCCAAATTGGTCAAAATGGCAATCTTTAAACCCTCATAACTTTACGAAAAAGGATCACAGGTGAAATATCTTTTCAAATTTAAGCTCAAAACACCAATAGCTTTCGAATGATATTAAAAAAAAGTCCGTCAAAAGTGGCTAGTTAAAAAGTCGAAAATGGTCTGAAGAAAAAAAACCCACCCCGAGCACAAATATTCCGTTACTTTCGTATCGAAAGTCGGAACAAAAACGAACAAATTTGCTAAATTACTAAAGCCAAGCTCTGGGTTTTCCGACTGCAACTTCACTGCTCTCGAATAGCTTTTAACAAATAAAACAAATTTTAACAACAAATTTTGGACTGACTCTATCAAATACCAAAGGCTAAATTTGAGCCGTATACGGAAATTATATTATGAACTTATTTTGCCTCAACTTATTTTGGAACGCCGCACATAAAAAAAGTTAGCTTTTTAAAACTAGTCAATATTAAAAACAATACTAGTGCGAGCACACTTTTTTTCAACTCATATAGACAAGTGCAAGCACACTGGCCTTGGGAATACAAAGAGTCCAGAAGTGATCCCCATGATTTAGAAATATTTTCTGTGAAATTGCTCTGATTCAAAACAAGACTGCTCATATCAGGGCAAAACTTTGAATGTTTTGACTGCCTCTTAGATGATCTCGAATAATTTTTGTTAAATGAAATTCGTATGACAAAATATTAAATTTAGGCTGATAATGTTAAACTCTAAGTGTTAAACTTTGAGTCGTGCTTGAAATTATTCGGATCATTTAGCTTGCCTCAATTCATTTCGGAACAAATTTGCAGAGCGGGATAATTGAATGTATAAAATGGGTTGTTGTTCCGACTTTCGATTCGAAAGTAACGGAATCTTTGTGCTCGGGGTGGGTTTTTTTTTTCTTCAGACAAATTTCGACTTTTTAACTAGCCATTTTTACGGAATTTTTTATATCATTCAAAAGATATTGTTGTCCTGAGCTTAAATTTGAAAAGATATTTCACCTGTGACCATTTTTCGTAAAATTATGGGGGTTTAAAGATTGCCATTTTGGCCAATTTGGAACAATAAACGCGCGATATATTTCGCGCTATTTACGCGTAAGCGGAGATTTAATCCGCCCTAGAAATCGTTCCAAATTGGTTCAAGAAAGCTTATATGCCATAATTGGTATAATAATAGGAGCGAAATCTATCATTTTGTACTTTGATAGAACCACAAAAGTCCTTCTTTTAGGCTAGAAAGTTTTCATAATCAATAACTTCAGAAAAAGAGTGATTGCCATGAAGTTTGTGAAAACTTCTTCATGGAAAATAGAAAACACTTTTTTGATTTCTTATTTTTTTGATTTTGTTGTGATGGGTTTGTTTGGCAATTTGATTCTTTTTATTTGACTATGTTTAATTTTCGGTCTCATTTAAATTCGGTCTCGAGTTTAATTTCGGTCTCGAATTGGCTAGCCTTCATATGATACTTTTTTCTCTCAGTAGACTTGCAGGGGAAATCTGAAGCCCATTGAAGCTCATTCAAATGATGCGACCATTGAAATATTAATTGAAATAAGAGTGTCTCCTCAAGTTTTTCAAATATTAAATTAAAAATGAGGATTTAATTTGGTAGTAGTTGAATCTGATACTCTGGCGAGTAGCCTTCGGTGCTCCTGTGAAGTTGTAATCTTAACTAGGTTTGAAGAGATTTAACTCGAGTTCCGGCTTTTTTCCTAATGGTAACATCCAATTTTCCTCCCTTCTTCATTTAAAAACTTTTGAGAGGCGTATACTTTGTTTTTCTGACGTTGTTTGTGCAATTTTTATAGTTTTGCCACATTATATCTACACATATAAGATAAAAGTAAAAATGATTCCTCTAATTGGGTTTCAAAGACGCCAGAAAACACGAAGTGCCTAGCTTAAGTTTTAAAGACGAGGTAGTTTTAGACTAAATGATAGCCTAATTTTTGCGATAAGCTTAACCCAGCGTTTCAAAAGCAGAAATGGAACGTGGAATGAACCATCCGAAGAACGGAGACGGTCATGCATTGAAGCTAAGAGCCCAGAAGATTATGTCGAGAATCCAAAACTGAATTACAAAGAAGAAACTACTGTTTCACTTAATAAAAAAAAACAGTAAATTCAGCACTGAGTCCGATATTAGTCGGAGACCATCAAGGATCAAAGATCAAAAATCTAGTTGAGACCAAGACCATTAACCAATCTATTGAAAAACAAATAAATCATGCTCTCGCTAAATCGAAGCCTTGAAGACACTTATACCTGAGGAAGCTAGATAAATTATACATTATCATAGAAGTTAATTCGGTTTGAAATTTAGAAGTGCAGCTGCACGTGTTGAAGGCTGAAATTTCTGAGGAGCGTAGGCGTACCAAAAATTCTGGCGGCGAAACAATTGGGCGACGAAAACTTGAAGACAGCAAAGAGAGTATTGCCAAAACACATTCAAATCACTAGCATAATTATTGGCGAAAAATCGTAACCAGATATTTCTCTATTCAATTGATAATCCCAGAAGGAAAAATAAATTTCGACCAAGTTTCTTCAAAAATGTGGGAAAAGTGAACATACTACAGAATAAGAAGAAGCTCATGCATCAAAAACTATGCCACAATCGTTAAAGCGCTCACATTACCTTGCGTAATCTTTTTAAAATGATGAAATAAGCTGAAGCAAGAAGTTTCTACGAAAGCTTTCTAGCTTTGAAGAGCTTTTTCAATAAAGAAATCAGGGTGGATCTTAAAGAAAAGTTACCTTTATCTACTCAAATGGGGACCGTAACTTTAGAAAAAAGATAAAATAGCACAAAATTTTGAAATTTTATCGAAAAAATGTTCAATTACATGATAGCCGATCACATTTCATGATACTAATAATCTGAAACATTCTGGCTATCGATCTCATTGTTTTATATAAAACTCTGCTTGTAAATGAGTTGAACAAAAAAATTGATTTAGCTTTTTGTTCAGTTTTTTTGTTTGAAAAAACAGTGAAAATAAATAAATAGTCATGCTTCTGCCACTAAATGGCCTTGCCAAAATTTTCATCCATTTTTTTCAGAACGACGATATGTATTGTTTTAACAGAATTGCAAATTAGGTTACAAAAAGCACGCGATAAAACCTCCTAGATTAAGCTAGCAGTAAAGTTTATGCATATGCTATTTTATACAGGACCAACCAAATACTACCGTGGCTAAAAGTCAAGTTATTGGCTTGGCGAACTAAAGGCGGGTTTGATTGCAAGAACTCTTAAAAAACCCTGAAAAACTAGCTGATAAGTTTTCTTGAAACACTTTCAAAAATCATTGCCATATTGCAATTTTGCACCTCGAAGGTTTTGACTCATGTGTTTAAAAATCAAATCAAGTACAAAAGGAGAAGGAAATTTAAGAAATTGATCGTTCACTTTCAAAATGAATCCTTGTTCAAGTCAAGGTCTTTACAATTACAGTTGTTTAAAAAATCCTTAAGCACGAATGGCAAATACTAAAATACAATCTTAAAAAAATTTGGTGGTCGTCAGTAAATTGTTGTATCAGTAATTATTACCTGATTCGATTATCAGTAATATTCGATTAACTGATCCGGTAATTTACTGACACTTTGGTTTACAGAACGCATCCCTAATAACAAACTTGCGTGAGTTACAACCGAAGATTAATTACCGAACAAGCCAAAATGATAATCACCTGGACCGAAAAACTTTTTTGCAACTAAAGAGTATTCCTTGAGCTTGGTCTTCAGTTTGTCCGATCAAATTGCCTTAGCTCAAAAAAAAAGTTTTTTTTGTGACCATTTTTTCTAAAATTTGCGAGAGCTTATTAATAATTACTTAGCTTAAATTTTGCAAGCAACGAATGAATCTGACTCAAACATCATCACAAATTGATTGAGAGCTCGTTATTTTACTCAAATAAAGAGTAAGTAGATGCGAAACATATCAAATTTAATTACTTCGACTAGTAAGGAATGCGACAAAAACTTTTTGTTTTGGTGCATTTTTTCAGACAAATTAGGGTTTTTAACCAATCAACTTTGAAACTAAGTTTTTCTATGAAATAAAATATTGATCTTTTGAGCTCAAATTTAAAATGATGTCTTCGAAAATTTTTTGGGTTTGCCTATTGCAAATTTGGGTCAATCAACGCGCAATATATTTTGTGCTAATCAGCTGTTTAATCAGAAAACGGTCTGAACACATTCCAAGTTAAAATGAACTAAGCTATTTGGTTCATGAGTAGATCACTAAACTGTTTGTTTCTTACATCCAAAAAAAAACAGTTTAACAATTCCTAATTTTTTCAGTAATTTTCTAGATTGTTAAACACATCTATCAAGAACCTTTTCGCATACTTTTATGTGCCGTCCGGACATTTCGGGCTTCGTTCTGATACAAGCATTCTTGATGTTCCCATCATTTGAAAAAAGTGGATGAGCTTTTTATTCGGGTGTGCTTAAGGTTCTGCTTTTTTGGTTTTTCACGCAAAACCAGGTACCACAAATAATCGTCAGAATAGATCAAGTAATATATTATGTTATCAATAAAACCTAGTTTTTTTAATTTTGTGAGTTTTACACAAATTTAGAGCGGTTAAAGCAAACAATTAAAGTGATGATAACTTGATTAATTGGTCATTTAGGCTTTTTAAAAAATTTTCATCGGGTAAACGAGTTTTGGAAGCTTTATTTGGCATTTCTCTGGCAATTAATTTGAATTTTATTCTTTTAAAATAATGTGCAAAAAAGCAGAAATTTTCGAACTTGAAATTTTTTTTCAAATTGTTACCTTTTTAGTTATTCTTTTTTTGAAAGCAACTGTTGTCGATTATGCCTAATTTACTAACTTTCAACGCGTGTGCATAGTTTTCTCATCGCACCACGTACAAGAAACGACACTAATTTGATTAACTTTTAATCGTAGTTTTCATGAATACGTTCGGAATATTCTGTGCTACTTTCACAGCAACCCGCTTTTCTTGTCTACATTGGATTTGTAAGAACAGTGTTTGTTTCTTTCAATATATATTTTTTGAAAAATTCATACCACAAATTGTTCCAGGCACCTTGAGGGACAGCCTGAAAGTTCAATGATTTGCGCTGATACGAGCATTGTTATTTCCCTCAAAATGAAAATATATCAATAGGAAATGTTAAAACTCAAGAACGTCTTCAGAACATCTTGTTCAACAGAGCGTGTGACCTGATTTGTTCTGTGTCTAGCCCGCTTTAATGTTTCCGTGAATGTGTGTTTGTATACAGTGTTGCTTCTGACGGAGGAAATGGAGGGTGAAAATGAGTTGATGGGCGGAGAGGGAGGGGCGGAAACAGAGGACTTGACTGTATCAGGAGCCGCCAGTCTGGACGATTTGTCTACTTTTTAACCCCTCAGAGCAATAATAAGAGACAATAAGAGACTGGCGAACACAGATTAGAGAAGCGAGACAAAATTTCAATTAACAATAACTCTGATTCCTAATAAAGTGAAAATTGGTCATAACTAATCAATCAACTGTTTACGTCACGTGTTATTTGATAAAAATTGCATAAAAAATTTGATGATGTCCACTTTTATTCGGCGCAGTCAATTCAGAGTAATAAACGTTTAAGCTACTTTGTTCAAGCAAAAAAAACGTTGAAACAAACTTGACTTAAATAAACCACCAATTGTAATAGTATTCGATTTTTTACATGCGTCATAAATTTCCCGTTCGACCATCAACAAGAGAATTTCTGCAGATTTCTACTAAAAGCGTGAATATGGTTGTATAAACTTTGGGCTTTTTTGGAAGCCCAAAATAAAATAAAAATCTTTTACAACTTAAAATAAGTAAATCTGTCGGTATGAAAAAACAGGACCATTTTTGTCAGTTTTCCACTCCCCTCCTAAAACTGCAAAGTAAATTCAACAGCAGAGGAATTTAGGCAAGAGGATTTAGGGGAAGGAGAATCACACTGAATTCCCCAACCCCTTTCAGGCTTTCGACCTCCGTAAGGATTCGATCCCACCTGACCGTTAGCATTATTTCAAGCATCTGTTTTCGGCTGACGTACCTCAAAATTATTTCACAAAACCTTCCAAAAAATCTTGAAAAGCTTTTTTGCTTGTTTTTTTTTAAATAAAAAATCACCTGCGGCAAAAAAATTTGGTCAAAATAAAGTCTTCATAGTGATTTGGGAGAGAGTTCAGAAAATCAATTCGACTTAAAAAAAAATTAGACAAAAATTTGAAAATCTGTCCCCCCTCGAGGAATTCCTAGAGCCGCCCCCTACATATCAACCAGGCATGTTTCAGAGTAATTGGGTACCAAGAGACTATTTCATGAGGTTTCGACTTGTTTGACGTTTCCGTGGATAAACTCTTTCGATTTAGCATTGAAGTATTTATTGTTAAAATTACATTATCCTAGTCATACACATAGCCTTGTAAGTTGGGTCATTGCGCCATTAAACTTTCCTTACTTGACAGTAAATCATTTTTATGGACTTGGTTCCAATTAAACGTTTGTAGCTTCCGTATAACACGTTACCGGGTTCGCTTCCGAAAAACGGTGGGTTTATTCTATTTTTGGAACTAGATCTCACTGAATGACTTGAGCGAGGGTAGAATAATTTGAAAAAGCATCTTAAAATAATTAAAACTATCTTGCACAATGATCTCTTATGAAAATAGTCAATTAGAATAAGTGATCTCTTATTGAAATAACTTTCTTTTTATATTTCCTTAAATTAAGTGTCTTGCTCCTTAATTACGGAAGTGTATATTGAAATTAAAACTAGCGCTCATTTTCTAGAAATGATCCATCCATGTTGCTTCCTCAAACAACGGAGTTTTTTGCTGTAAGTTTTTTCAAGTATCAGCGATATTGAATTTTTGAACTCCACCGGAAATGAATCGTAAATGATAAAGAGACGGAGTCTTAACCACTGACTTAAGAATCAGCAAAGCAAACAAAGCAAACAAAGCAAAAACCGTTAGAACCATTTGGAACTATATTAACAGTCAACTCAGTTCCCAATTTAGTCTATTCAATCATTCAATAAATTACAGTCTAGCTTGAGTGAACAGTACTCAAACCGGATGAGCAAAACCACAATTAAATACAAAGCAAAATTTTTATGAATTAAAAAACTATGCAGCCGGATTTATTTCATAGTCATAAAAACTACAGCTGACTTATGCCCGGATTTGAACTGCGATTTGACTCATAGGCTATAGAAAGCTGAATCACCATGCCCGGAATTCGCACAAAAAAGACAATCTTTATTTCAAAAAAGTAGACAAAAAGTGGACAAATGCTATATTAAGCAATCAAAATCGAGAACAGAAAGCAAACTTAGGAAATAAACTAGACTGCTCATATATCAGGGCAAAGCACTGACTGGGTTCGACTGCCCTTTAACTGGTCTCAAATAGTTTGTGGTAAAAGAAAATATTTGAAAACTATAAACGTTGGACAACATCGAAGATTAAGTGTAAAAATATTTATCGTACAAAATTAATGCAACCAATTGAGAGCTAGCCTTAATTCAATTTGGAACAATTTTGTTGTGCGGAATATTTCGGCACGCATAAAAATTTGCGTTACGCTTTCAACATTATGAATAAGACCTTGAAAGCGCGAATAAAATAGTCCAGAGCATGGCCAAATGGGTTATTTTGAATATCCCAGAAATTTGCAAAAAATGATTGGAGGTAAAAAAAGTCTTTCTACATTTTGATTAAAGGAGTCGATATCTTCAATGGGTTATAATAGTTAAAAAAATAACTTCGCTGACCGAAAGTTAACTGAATAAAAACATCACATCAAGCGAAAAATATTCCGTTTTTTTGCAAGTCGGAACAAAGTTATACAAGACTGCTCGTATCAGGGCTCGTAACTGGATTTTTTTTCAAAGATAATCTCCTCAAACAAAAAAATCATTTGTATATATCATATTTGTATATGTCAATGTATTTATTAAACGAAACAGCAGGCTTTATTGTTCCGACTTTCGATACGAAAGTAACGGATTATTTGTGCTTGGGGTGGGTTTTCTTTCCTCAGACAAATTTCGACTTTTTAACTGGCCAGTTTTGACCAAGTTTCTTCATATCATTCAAATAGTATTTCTGTCCTGAGCTTGAATTTGAAAAATTATTTCACCTGCAACCGTTTTAATTATGAGGGTTTAAAGATCGCCATTATGACCTATTCGGGACAATTAACGCACGATATTTTTCGCGCTATTAAGGCTTAAGTGGAGATTTAATCCGTCTTAGAAATCGTTCCAATTTGGTTGAAAGAAGCTTGTTTGCCGTGGTTGATTTGTTACAAGGAGCAAAATCTATTCTTTTGTGTTTGTGTGTGTGTGTGTGCGGGAGGGGGGGGGTGATTGAGGGGGATGATTTTCATTTTAAAAATTCAATTTTAGAAAAAAAATGCATTTATTTTATTACAATTAATTTTTTTATGTTCTACTGCTCTATAAACCTTAAAAAGCAGTCGAACGATTCAGAACTTCGTAAAATCCTTTCTACAGTTTGTTGTTTTTACAGTTTTTAGTAGCCTAATTTTTACTGGCTATTTGAATAGCCTCCACGCCAAAACCAATTTTATCCTTGCCATATCCACCCTTCTCACTTCTACCATGGGGTAAACTGACAGCTTGAGAAAAATCTAAACATGGGCAGATGTGTAAGGTGAAAGGACGAGGAGGTGTAATGAGGGTGGGGGTGTTAATAGATGATAAGAGATGCGCGGGTTTAATTATAATCAACACAGGCTTACAAATTCTTCATTCACTTTTTCTGCATAACTTAAGTATTTGACCAATTTCATAAATATTTTAGAACAGGTCTGGCACACCGCATGGGTATTTGTCCCTATACACAAGCTGGAAAAACCTCGACTCGGGGCGAACCGCTCTTTAATGTTTATGGTAAACACTTCTAAATAAAAACTTGATTTAATGTTTGTTGAAGAAATCATGAAATCAGGGGCGATTCTAGGATTTTCTATTTTCTAGAGGGGTGCGGGGCGGATTTTCTAGAGGGGTGCGGGGCGGAAAATTGTGTCGACCTTTTTTTTTAGGTTGACCAAATTGTTTTTCGAACCCAAAGCACTAAAAAGTCCCTGTTTTGGCCAAATTTTCTGCGCCGCAGGCAAAAATTTGTTAAAAAAAATTGACCAAAAAAAAGGCGTTTTTAAGCACTTATGACCAAAAAAATTGCATTTTTTTGGTGCGCACTCCCCCCTCAAAATTTGTATATATAGGCGAAAAATTTTTGGGTCCGTCACCAAAAATGGATATCTCAAAATTGTACAAAGGGGGACCCTTTGGGTCGGCAGGGGGTCGAATCCCTAAAAAAAGCGTCCGACCCCCCTCCCCCCCCCCCTAAATCCGCCACTGAAGGAAATCTATTCTTTTTTTTTTACTTTTTCCTTATTTAATCTCCCACACGATGTATATCAGAAACCGCATTATCAAATTAATTTTTACCAAGTTTAGAAATCAGATTGCCTCAAATCAGCCACATCTTTTTTTAAAACAATGAAAAAAGTATCTTGGTAGAAACATTTATGTCATGATACCGCAAAATAAATCAAACTTTTTAGTTTATGTACTACACTAAATGTGGTAAGTTACAGTTTTTACAGTTACAAAAGCAAATGAATCGGTTTTGACTATCACGATCAAGCAGTGTCAAACATTTAAAGCAAAAAAATAGTTGCACTTTGGAGCTTAAACTTACCAACTACCTGTACTACAAATAATAAATGACCAACTGTTGAGGGATTTCTGAGAATCCGAAGCGTTAGACAAGATTCAATCAATTTAGGTTTCTGGTTTTCAATAGTTGTTCATCCAACTCTTTTAATAATTCGCATATACAACGCAGTTTTGGGTAAAAAAGGGTACATCACAACGGCGAATCGTAACAACACAAACATAAATGACAAACAATAATCGGACCGAAAAATACGCGAGCACCTCTAAGTCAAAAATTTTAAATGTCGAGAAAAAACAAAATCCAAATTTTTCATTTTTTGACATTTTCATATCTTGATTTTGTCACAAAAAACATCAAGTGAGACAATAAAATGTTAATTTGAAATAAAAAAACAAAAGTGATAACAACGCCGAACGTTTTTGAGCAGACAATCGTTGAGCCGGAAAAAATCATTTAAAAAGTTTCGTTAATTAGCATGTTGAAATGAAAAATTGGAACTTCTTGGTCCCGTGACTGTACCGACCAAATCGATTATTGAGTAGTTTTCCACTACTGATAGTGACAAAAAGATTAATTAAAACTCGGCAATACATTTAGAAAATTGTGCAATCATAACAATGGTTTGTTTACATTCAACATTGAGCCATACTGCTCCAGTCGATACAAATTCAATGCTCTCCGCATAGATTTTTAGATAGATATATAATAAGTCGTTAAGAGTTGCGCAAACCCTTATTCTAAACTTAAGGGTGATTGTTTCTCGTTGATGTCTTCTCTTAATTCTCCTAAATTGACTTCACGGTTCCCTCGGGAAATCTAAGACGACTGCAGCCTGTGTTACTTAATCAAAGGTGGCTCTTGGAGCTTTAACAACAGTTCATGAAACCGGAGCGT